CAGGGGTCGTCTCATATACATTTTAACAAGATATAATAATTGGATCTATGAGAAAATCATCAAACTCTTCATTTTTTTATGTATGTTCAGTGATAATTCTTTACCACCTTGTCCGATTTCTATGAGTGTTTTTTTTTTGTTAAAAAGGGGGTACCTCAGGAGTGGTCCCTTATAAATTTGGTAAATATATAGTAATGGCAGATCTGAGAAAATCAGCAAACTCAATGTATAATGGCATCTGCACGATTTTGGAGTAGTTTTTTTTTTTAATAAATTTAATAACTTGTTTAAATTATTCATAGGTGTCAATTCTGGCGTTATGTTGATGAACTTAACTAGAATGAGAGCCTTCCAATGGAAAGCATACGTGGTTCCTATTTATAAAAAATACAAGCTCAAAATTACTTGGGGCGATCAAGACATTATTAACATAATATTTCATTACCATCCAGGTGAGTGAACATTTATTTGGAATGAAATTTATTAATGCCTAAAATTCGCCGTGATTTTTAGATAAATTGTATATATATTCCTGCCGATTCAATTATCGTCCAGATCATTGTATGTACACCAGTGTTTGTAAACAAGCTGAAAAAGATGGGGTGGCAGTAATTCATGGTTCCAGGGGTTTTTTTCATTCTGAAAAACAACCCATATTTCAAGCTGTTTACAGATCTTTTGAGGAGGTAAGTATTATTATTTGTTTAGGTAACAAATTAAATATTTTATAGGGGGTATAGGGTCCAAAGCTATAAGCAATAGTGAACCATTTTACAAGCTTTTATTAGTAGGTTGGGTACTCTTGTTTTTGTTTAATCAGCCTTTATGGTTTTGTTACTAAAGATTTTTGTGAATAATGGTTTCTTTGAAAATAATTTACATATTTGCTATTTACTAGTCAAAATTAGTCATATATTCAGTATGGAATTTGAGAAAAAATCTCTATAAGAGATGTCTTGTATTTCTGTTTTTAGATGCAGTGTTGCATTATAACCATATCTAGAAAGGTGAACATTTATAATAAAACATGATGAATACATATATTGATATGGTATGACAAACCCTCATATTCTTAATTTATAAATGTCTTATTGGGGTTCATTTTCTGAAATTTTTAAAAAATCGAAATTTTAACAAAATATAACAAAAAACCAAGGAAATTTTTATTTATATAAAATTCTGCTACGGTCAGGAAATCATCCTTATTCAAAAACTTCTTTGTATTCTTTATTATTTTTTTTTCGTCTTTCTTCTTCACCTATTTATTTTAAATGCATCAACCTATCTTCTTACCTTTGTCTTTTTCTACACCTACTTGCCCTATTTCCTTCTGTCTTTTCGTATTTCTGCTGCTACACCCTTTCTAAACTTATACATTTCTGTTCACCTTCCCCTTTGGGAGAAGTATTCATCAACAACAACATGGTCACTTTAAGATGGATCGAAGGTCACGCCACATCGAAAGGTAACCGTCTTGCTGATTCACTGGCCAAGAAAGCAGCCAACCAAATACTTTTTGGACCTGGCCCTTCTATTGGCCTGACAAAATTGGTAGTGACAGACCTAATTAAAGAACATTCCCTTGTGAAATTCAAGGAAAGATGGGATGAAACAAGAAACTGCAGTATTGCCAGGGAGTTATCCTGACAACACTGCAGCAAACAAATACTTGACTATGACTAGACAGAATCTGTACCTAGTGACAGGCATTCTGACTGGTCATTGCCAAGTACGGAAGCGTGTCCATATCATCGGGCTGTCAGAATCCGCACTATGCAGAGGGTGCGAACAAGAAGATGAGACCATCGAGCATATCCTCTACGATTGCTCGACGCTCTCATTTATTAGGAGATTTCTGTTCGGCGAGTATCGGCTAACACCGGTCGATATAAGAGAAGTACCGCTTGGCGACGTTGTCAACTGCATTAAATCTGTAGGCTGGCTCAAGAGCTAAGAGGTGCCTATCATCTTAGGAGGATGCACAATGGGCCTAGTGAGGCCTAAGTGCCGTTGGGCAACCCACCCTCCACACGTTACAGATACAGAGATACCTCCCCCTTTCCTTTTTTGTAAACGTACACCTCTACTTCCTCTGCTTCCTTCCAAATCATTCTGTGCTTTATTTCATTTCAATTTCA